TTAATGCTGTTTCCTGCACTGTTTTTAAAATTTTTTAGATATTTTATTAAAAATTTATTAATATTTCATTTGCTCAGTGATTTGTGATAAATCTGTTAATTTTTTTTTTACAGATTTTAGTGTATGTATGTGTGTGTGTGTGTGGACATGCATGATGTATGTGTGAGAGCACAAGCATGTGATCAAGGCAGAGGTCAGAGAACAACTTTCAGGGGTCAGTTCTCTCCTACCATGGTCCAGATGTGGGACTCATGCCATCAGGGTCTGTAGCAAGCACTTTTAACCACTGAGGCATCTTGCCAGCCCAAAGTTATTCTTAGCATCTGTTCTCTTATGCAGTTGAATGCTCTGATTTGACATATTTTGTATCATCATAAGAATGTTACTTCAAAACCATACAGATACTACATAAATAGTACACCAAAAGAATGGCTTTTCCATCATTCCACTTCAGGTACAGGTACACATGTTGCTTCAGATTATTTAGCAGCTCAATTCACTTCACTTAGCCATGTATTTCACTTCTACTTCAGATGTGTCATAATTTGTTGTTGATTGTATTTTTTTATTTATTTTTAATTTTTCTTTTATTTTTTAGAAGAAGCATTTCATTACCGCTTTAACATACTCAATAACAATTTCCAGAGCATCTCTTTCAAAAGTGGCTATAAAATTTTTAGGTTCACAGTTGAATAACAGTTATATAAAATTGAACTCAGTATAAACCCTGTAAGACATAAAATTGAGTTTTTAACCTTTAAAAAAGATCTCCGATACCTTCTTTTGAGTTATTGGCCAGGGTGGCCCAAGAGACTCCCAGATAGTAACCCAGCATAAAACTGGGAAAATGAACAGCAGACAGACCCCTTATCTAAAGGAATATTGACAACTGATTGCTGCTAGATGAGGAACAGCTGATCTTCCTAAAACAAAGACCTCTAGATAGGCTGACTAGATTCACCAGATGGACAAGTACTGGGGAACGGCTGGGGGTTTGGTTGGGTTTTTATCTTTCTACTCACAGTATCACACAGAGAAGTGAGTAAGGCAGCCTAGCAATAACACCAGGCAGCAATGAGCACACCAAGCACCTAGGTCTTGGTGTCTAATGCCTGTCTCCAAAAAAGATTTGCAGCTCCTTGCAGAAAGCTAAAGGCTGGAATAGAGAATGTTGCAGTGTCAGAAAGTTAAGGGCTTAAAAGGGAAATCCAAAATTATGGTGCATGTAAAAGGGATACAGAAGCCCACTGAAGGAGCTCCTTGGTGGCTAACACTGAGAAGTTGAGCAGCAGTATCAAGTGTTATAATCCCTGAGCCCATGCCACACATAACATACTCAATACACTATTGTCCTAGTTTGTTGTCTGTTGTGATAGATACCATGACTAAAAGTAACTTGGGGAGGAAAGGGTTTATTTTAGCTTAGACGTATTTACAGTTCATCATTGAGGGAAGCCACCCCTCATTGAGGGAAGTTCCTAGCCCAAGGCTGGAACTGAAGCAGAGACTGGGGAAGAACACTGCTTACTGACTTGCTCAGCTATAGCTACCTTTATATAGCCCAGGCCACATACCCATGGGTAGCCCCACCCACAGTGGCTGGGCCCTCCCACACAAATTAAGAAAATGCCTCATGGGGCTGGAGAAATGGCTTAGCAGTTAAGATCACTTGGCTGCTTTTGCAGAGGACCCAGATTCAGTTTCCAGCACCCACATTGTGGCTTACAACCGTCTGTAACCACAGTTCCAGTGGCTCTGACACCCTCTTCTGGCTTCTGAAGGCATTGCATACACATGGTGCATTTATATCCAAGTAAGCAAAGCACTCATACACATAAAACTTTTACCCCCTAATGCCAACCACATGCAGGCCTCTCTCTCTGGGGTAAGTCGATCTCGCCCTCCACGCCTTGACTCCCCCAGCCTCATTCACCCTACCATCTCTCCCACCGGTCTCTCCTAGCCTGGGTCCTGTCCCATTCCTTCTCTTGGCACCCCAGACACCTGGGGAACCACCATTGCTTCCTGATCCTTTGCATCCAGACCAACTCAGTTCCTTCTCAGGTACCCAGGAGCACTGCTTCTGGGCCTGGCCCTGCCCTCACCTCCCTCTGCTTCCCTGGGTCTGCACAACCCACCAGCCTCTTTCTTGGTCGCCGGGGCTGACCTTTCCTCTTCCTGATCCTTTGCATCCAGACCAACCCAACTCCTCACTCAGTGCAGTCCCCAGGAGCTCTTGGGGCTGCCTCCCACCCCCATCTTCCTTTGCATCTCTGGGTGGCATGACCACCACCTGCCCTAGACCAGCATCTTTCCTGGACCAGCTCCCAGGCCAGTCTAACCCCCAAATTCCTGAGGCCAAAATCTTTCCTGGTGGGACCCAGACCTTAGGAGAAAGCCTGAGAGCATCTGATCCCCATCCGACTTGGGCCTCTGTGGGAACTCCTGAAGACAAAAGCAATCTGGCCACTCCAATATAAAATCAAAAGAGAGA